GTTTTGATCAAATCCATTCGTATTCACTCACATTTTCTCATTTATTGCAAAATTCGCAAAAATATTCCGCTTCCTTTATCGCGCTGCTGTTTAGCAAAGATTTGAGGGAGGATGACGAAAACATGATACCCATAATTGTTGATGATATGCTTTCGGATAAAATCTCGCTAATGATGTACAGTCATTGTTTCAACCCTCATACACTAGAGAAATAAGGAGTTTATCCCTAGTTAACCACTTCGAGCCTAGAAGTAGGAGTTTCCTTCTGATTTCTAAACCCTTACACTTAACCTGGGGCCTGGGTAGTGTTCAGTTAACTTGAGTACACACTCAAATCACGAGACGAAATTTGTCGACATGACGGTGGTCCATTAATGACCATTGACTTGGCAATCACAAGCCTTTCAAAAAATACAATAAAAAGCCTGCTAAGTCAAACACCTCAAAAGGGGACTTAGGCAAAAACAAGGCAATCCCGATGGACTCGAAAAGCGAAATCAGTCCATGCAAAAGTTAGGGATCAAAATAAAAATCATAAGAGGTCCTTAAACCCTCAACAAAAACAAAATAAGATTCAGTGGCCACCCAAATCAAAGGGGTTACTGACATCCATCAAAATAAGATGGTTGCCATTTCAAGCAAACTTTGAACCATCAAGTTTACACCGTCAAGCAGGTGCAAAATTAATTGAACTTAGGTATGGAGATCATTACAAAGAAGGGGTGGGTACAAATAATACTTTGCCCTAATATCCTTTATTTCTATAACCGTGAACTAGACCACGTTACAACCCTCGAAAGACCTAATTGAGGCAAGGTTTATTCTGAAAGCATACTACAGCAAGGTTGTGTAAACTGACTCCTACATATTTGCTAATTTTATGTATTGGTGTCATATTCTTGCTATATCTTTCACACCAATTAAATCAGCATTGCGTTTGGATTAATAGTCCACTCGTCACACATTTTCACATCATTCCCAATAAATGATATTTTCAAAACTTACATGAATGTTGCATTAAAATTACCATTTTTGAATGAATAATTTTAAACTGCAAATCAGTACTTGACATTATAGAAATTCCAACAAAGTGCAGTCAAAGAGGAACTTGATCGCTCATTGGTGTTGACCTGAATCAAGAATTTCTCATAACCCTACGAATCTAGGGCAAGTCCTTTTGAGGTTTAAACCGGGGCAAACCACTACAAGGTCCAGACACTGGGGCAAATGGGTTCAAGCCATATCCTGGTATAATCATCGCCAAAGTTCTCATCCCAGAAGAAAATCCTTCAAATACCCCGCAGACTGGGGCAGACCATTTGAACTGGGGCAGATTAGCTGAACAGGGGCAATTTCCCTTCACGCTTTCAAAGTTGATCAAGATGACCACACCAGACACCAGTAATGGTTAGGGTCCATAAACGTCAAAAGCCTTGGGGCAGAGCAAAAGCATGACTAACACGCATTGGTTAAGTCGCTACACTCACGCAATCCATATGCATTGGTTGAGTCGCTACGCTAGCACGATTAACACGCATTGGTTAAGTTGCTACGCTCGCACAGTTAACATGCTTTGGATAAGTCGCTACGCTCAACATTTGTAAGTCGTCATGACATACCAGCTAGAAGCGAGGTTCTTACAAGAACAAGAATACCACTTCTGCAAAGGATCCAACTTGGAGCACCAAGTGTATCCACATCTGTCTTCTGATTGTGGCGCTGTCATATACCATGTGTCGGGAAGTCAAATCCTTTTACCAATAAAAGTCTGATCTCGCTTGGCACGTCCTTAAAGTCCAATCTTTTATTGGCAACTACAAAAAAGTCACTCCAATTGGCACCTTCAATTCACCCTTAAAGTCCAATTTTTTATTGGCAACTACAAAAAGCCACTCCAATTGGCACCTTCAATTCACCCTAAAAGTCCAATATTGATTGGCAACCACTAAAAGTCCACCCTCGATGGCATCCTCATAAAACCAAAGTCCAAATCCCTTTGACAACTACCAAATCCAGTCCCTGGTGATACCCCCGACAAGATTTTATCCCCAACATACCTGATCATTTGCATTATCATAAGCACGACATACAATATCACATCATATCATAGTCATATCGAGCATTAGCATATCATTTGCATTCGCATCTTGCACTCCCTAGCAGTTGCGTCTTAGTTGCATGTTTATGTATCATAACGCATATCATCGCTGTCTTCAGCAACATAACATAGCAGCGTAGCAGGATCCAGGATCGATTCGCGAGCATCTTGGCCAGTCCTTCATCAAAGTCGGCAATATTTCTCTGCAAAGAGTTGATATCCCGCAAGTTCAGGAATTTTACTCCCCAACAAGTTATTTTTCAAACATGAGTTGATGACAATAACCCCCAGCAGTTGTTGCTCTTATGATCCCCCAAGCAGAGGTTATCTTAGAGAGTTTATTGAAGATTTCTCCCCTATAGAGTTTGGACAACGTTGTTCCTCTAATAGGAATTTTAGCTCAAACTATTCACCAGCAAATGTATCATTCGAGATACTGTTTGGTATCATCGAAGAACCTTATTGGATAAGGGATTGCTTCGACCATCCGAAGAATCTCAAGTTTTCAGAGATATTGCTTTGGTATCATCGAAGAACCTTATGGGATAAGGGACTGCTTCGACCACCCGAAGAATCTCAAATTTTCAGAGATACTGCTTTGGTATCATCGAAGAATCTTATTGGATAAGAGGCTGCTTCGACCACCCGAAGAATCTCAAGCGTTTAGAGATACTGCTTTGGTATCATTGAAGAACCTTATTGGATAAGAGGCTGCTTCGACCACCCGAAGAATCTCAAGCGTTTAGAGATACTGCTTTGGTATCATCGAAGAACCTTATTGGATAAGGGATTGCTTCGACCACCCGAAGAATCTCAAGTTTTCAGAGATACTGCTTTGGTATCATCGAAGAACCTTATGGGATAAGGGACTGCTTCGACCACCCGAAGAATCTCAAATTTTCAGAGATACTGCTTTGGTATCATCGAAGAATCTTATTGGATAAGAGGCTGCTTCGACCACCCGAAGAATCTCATTTGTTTAGAGATACTGCTTTGGTATCATCGAAGAATCTTATTGGATAAGAGGCTGCTTCGACCACCCGAAGAATCTCAAGCGTTTAGAGATACTGCTTTGGTATCATCGAAGAACCTTATTGGATAAGGGATTGCTTCGACCACCCGAAGAATCTCAAGTTTTCAGAGATACTGCTTTGGTATCATCGAAGAACCTTATGGGATAAGGGACTGCTTCGACCACCCGAAGAATCTCAAATTTTCAGAGATACTGCTTTGGTATCATCGAAGAATCTTATTGGATAAGAGGCTGCTTCGACCACCCGAAGAATCTCATTTGTTTAGAGATACTGTTTTGGTATCATCGAAGAATCTTATTGGATAAGAGGATGCTTCGACCACCCGAAGAATCTCAAGTGTTTAGAGATACTGCTTTGGTATCATCGAAGAACCTTATTGGATAAGAGACTGCTTCGACCACCCAAAGAATCTCATGTTTTCAGAGATACTGCTTTGGTATCATCGAAGGACCTTAACGAATGAGGGGCTACTTCGAACACCCAAAGATGCTTGTTTATACTGCTTTGGTATCATCGAAGAACCTTATTGGATAAGGGACTGCTTCGACCACCCGAAGAATCTCAAGTTTTCAGAGATACTGCTTTGGTATCATCGAAGGACCTTAACGAATGAGGGGCTGCTTCGACCACCCAAAGATGCTTGTTTATACCGCTTTGGTATCATCGAAGGACCTTAACGAATGAGGGACTGCTTCGACCACCCAAAGAGGATTGTTTATACTACTCTGGTATCGCGAAGAACCTTATTAGATAAGGGGTTGCTTCGACCACCCAGAGAATGTCAGATTATCCTGTTCATCTTTGGCATCCTGCTATCCCGTTCTAGTATCTCACTGCATTTTAACTTGCTTGTCGGACAAATTTTGGGGTATTCTTGTATCTAATTGACTTCCCCCTCAAAATGAACACCATGCAGCAGTTCATGCTCTCGGGTCAAAGACAATTAGATAGGGGCATCTGTCATACCCCAAATTTGTCCTACCTTTTTGAAAATTTTTATTTACCCGACTTTATTTTTCAATTCGCATCGCTTTTACGGCGTAATGTATTTTTCGGGAAAAATAAACTCTTTTACCTTTTTACCCCAATAAATTTGCGCCACATGACATCTTTTCATTTATTATTATTTATGTTTTAGCATTTTATTATTAATTGATTAATTAGTTAAAATAGGATAGAATTATAATTATTTTTTATTTATTAGAATAGATTTTTTTTTAATTAGGAATAGGATCTGACTTTTTTTTATTAATTAAATTAGAATTTAATTTAAAAAAATAGAGTTAGTTTTTTTTTAATTAATTAAAATTAGTTAGAATAGAAAATAGGTTTATTAATTTAATTTATTAAACAGAAAAATTAAAAAAATTAAAAATAGAAAATGAAAATGGAAGAACACGGTTGGAATTTGGGAGATTAGGGTTGGGAAGATTCAGTATAAAGGAAGGCACTGTTCATCTCTCCCCAGAGAGAAACCCTAGCCGTCAGTCCCAATTACCAAATCCTAAAATCTCTCATCTTCCCCTACCTCCCGCCGTCAAACCCTAACATCACCATTATCTCCCTCCTCCATTTTCGTCCTCCCAACATCTAACCCATCCACCGTTTTCACAAACCCTTTCCTCTTATTTTCCCTCGCCGTGAAACCCCCGTCTCATCTCTCTGTCTCTTTCACTCGCCGTTCTCCTACACCACCACCACATCTCATCTAACTTGAAATCAAACCTACTTCTCATTACAAGCTAACAATATTTGATAGTGAGAGAAAATGTTAGAGGAAAGAAACAACACTTAACATTTCCCTAATACTTACTTCTCTCTATTATTTGCATTGTGCTTTTTTATACTGTTACTTCTCAAGTAGAACTATGAGGAAGCATGGATGGCAGCTACCTTACCACCCTCTTCAGGTTGTGGTTTTTGCTGTGTTTTTGGCTCTGGGGTTTGCTTTCTACGTGTTCTTTGCTCCTTTTGTTGGAAACAAGATGTATCAGTATATTGTCGTTGCTCTCTACACACCTATGATTGTTGTTGTTTTTGGACTCTACATTTGGTGCGCTGCAGCAGATCCTGGGATTTTCAAGTCCAAAAAGTATCTTAAAATTCCAGGCAGTAAAAAGATTGTTAGGCTAAAGAGTTCTAAACTAGGTGAAGAGTAAACTCCACCAATGCATGACGCAAATGCTTCAACACTTGGAGGAAATTCCATGGATAGTGAAGCATTTGGTACTGGAAGAAATATGAAAGATGCTTATAATTCAGTTGAGAAGGAAAATTCATCATCTTCTTGTTTGTCACGTTTCCTTGTGGTTTGCTCTCCCTGTGCTTATATATTCCACTGCTCTGGTTCAAGTGAGGAATCTTCTGATAAGCAAACCAGTGAAGATGGCATGTTCTATTGCAATTTGTGTGAAGTTGAGGTCTTCAAATACAGCAAGCACTGTAGAGTTTACGACAAGTGTGTAAATCACTTTGATCATCATTGCCGGTGGCTCAACAACTGTATTGGGAAAAAGAACTATAGGCAATTTTTCAGCCTGATGGGTGCTGCTATACTACATGATTGTTTACTTTTTACTGCTATTGTTAGTATGTTGTTGGCCTGTCTCTAATATGCCACAGTTTCGACAATTCAGACTTGGTATCACGCGACATCAACCTATTCTGCAATAACACGACGACACCATTTTTTTTACAACAACAAATCCGATAAAGCGAGTTGCACCATGAGTATAGATTTCGACTGATAAAGTGAGTTGCAACAGATCAATTACTCGACCGTTCCAATAAAAGCATCAAGCATCCTTTTTTTTCTAACTGCTGGTTCAAAGAATTACAAGTGTTTACGGCGCCGTTAACAGTACAAGTTCGCTGCAGTTAGTTCCTCTTTCGAATTTCCCATGATGCTTTAGCACATGACAAGTTCAGAAGCCTGATTATGAGCATCAGTACTCACGACGTAATCTGTGTCATCCATCAAGATTGAAACTTGTTTCGATCACTGTTGTTGTCGTGATACAAGCTTGAATTGTGCCACATTTGATTGATTCTTGCTTACAATAACACGGCTCGACATCGCAGTACCTCAAACAACATCACCAACGGATAAGAGCCAGCGCGAGACTTTCGTCACGAGAAGAAGTAATCAAGACACCATAAAGACGATGGTTTGATGAAACTGCAGCAGAACTGGATGTGGTTTGTATCTATAACATGTCACAAGCGAGAACATCGTAGCAGCAATTCTGCAACGCGTTATGACACAACAGCTCAACCATAATCCACCAGAATTTGCACAATTGCATTCGAGTTTGACGGTTCTGAGTCCCATCCACGGTTTACGTCTAAACACAAACACCAAACGTCGTTAAGGCATTTGAGATGCAGGTAGCAGCAAGTTGGAACAATAACGCTTCAGCACCACTTAACTTTGCGCTTCAACAACAGCTATACAACACCTTCAAAAGGCTAACGCGTTACTGATTTTGTAGCCACACTCACAAGGGTTGTATCTCTAACTTAGCCATGTTCCCTTTGTTTTCGACTTCTGTGAATTTTATTTTTTCTCTGTTCTATTTGGTTTGTTATCCGCTGTTTGTGCAGGTTGTGAGTTGATTCAAGAACCGACCCCGAGTTGGTCTCGACGTGATATCCTCGAATTCCATCTGTCGGAGCACATTTTCATGACACCAAGTTGTTCATCCGTGTGGCTCTTCGACAACAACAACTCTCTTCTTGAAAGAAGAAGATTCAGTGAAGGATTTGAAGCTGATGTTGCTGCTACAACTTGATGATATTAGTGTCGATGATTCGGTTACCGCTAGTTCCTGTTTCACTTATCCATAACATAGCGACACTGGAGGATCTTTTGGAAAGGGTGCAGAGCCAAGAACGAGATTGGTTATCATACACACATTTTTGCTGCATAACCAAGGATTAGATCATGGCCTTATTATTTGGTTGACAACAACGATAGGGCTAGCATTATTCAGATTACTTCTACTTATTGTCGGTTTTGACTTTGCAAAATTTGTTTTTATCTGGTTTGTTATTTGTGTTTATTTCTATACAAGTTGCAAATTGCATCCGAGAGGCTTGGGTACGACCTAGTTTCGTTCTGTTTCTGGCAGCGGTATAAGCAGACCTTGCAACAACAATAGCAACGTCAGTGCTGACACGGTTGCGATGCCGCCAAATTTTGAAGATGTGAATGATAGCATGAAATAGAGATTCAGAGGGGTTCCGCTTTGAAGGTTTTAAAGCATTCCAATGCCGCGACGATAACGGGAGCTGCAGCTACAATAACATTTCAGAAGCAGGACCTGCATTTTCTTATTTTCTGACAATCTGCAATATGGCCTTCAACCACACCATTCGATGTGCGATGACGAATATCAATCCCAGTTATTGTTGGACATTGGTTGTTTTGTTCTCTCTTTGACAGGTTTGGATCCTTCTGATAAATTCTTCATCGCGAGTTAGTAAGCGGATAAATGTCCAGCTGCAAGATTAGGATGTCGTGGCCATGTCGAGCTGAGGAAGGTGATGATACACGCTGAGGGAATTAGCTTGAATCGATTATTCAACAAGGAAGAATTAGCAGCAGCCACAACAACTTGACTTTGCGGCAATGCAGTCCATTCTCAAGCTCCGCCTCCGACAATCTCAAGTCGCAGCGATGAGCATACCTCTTCGGTTGGTGTTTCCCCTTTATTTTGTTTCTGTTTAATGTCATTATATTAATACGTCCTTGATGATCGATACGGTAACGATTGTTTTCATGGTCATATTTTGGTTTTCGCATGCCATGTTAGTTTCGTAAGAACTTCGACGGGATAAGTGATATTGGATTAACCCTTTATAACTATTGTATGTTACTTGTATGCTTGAAATTTAGTTTCGATTTTTGCGGTATTGTTATCAATTTGATATAGAATACTTGATGCTACTTCATTCAAATCGAATTTGTTGTTGATATCAGCGTGGCAAATTAACTCAATTGTTATACTGCTGTTATCCGAGTCGTCGTTCTCGATTGCGGTATACCGAGTCTTACATTCTATGTTTCTTATGTGGTAGGCATTCTATGAATTGAGGATTATGTGGTGTTTCTGGTTTTCATTTCTAAAAATAATTCTACTTGTTTTTTATATACAGGTGTTGAAATGTGAAATACATAACAGGGCTGTAACTAACGTTTCTAAGTAACACCTAAATAACACCTGTAATTTGTGTAATTAAATTCATAATTGGATTGAATTAGATCTTTTTATATACATCTGTACAAGCGACGGTGAAAAGGGTTGGTACTAAACTTTTATCTTTTCCATTTCGTTTAACAAGAAGCTAATGACATGTTAATTTCTTCATCAAACCCAATACTGCTCTTTTTTTTTAAAAGATGATGGCTTTCAGACCCGTACGGCTTGGGTCATTGGACCTTCATAGGCCCGTTTTGGTCAGGAACACCTTGCTATTACTCACAGTTATCCATTCAATCGGTATTTTTCTTTTTTATATTTCATTATATTCTATCCCCATTCGAATAAATGTATCCCCACTCTCTAAAATGTAATATTATTTAGCACTTTTATCTTGATTGCTTTAATGCTTTAAATTATTTTAAAAATAAATTCTCGATTTATCGAGTCATTTTCTACCCTTGTAAGTCGAGTGATTTCAAAGCCTCGCCATCAACCTTTTGGTCACAGACACAACATTTTAAAGCTTAATCCTGGGCTTCCTTACAGTGATACCTATTTGATCAATTATTTCTAATTGGTCACTTAGAAGACTAGCCCACTTTGCTAGTGCACACGTTAAAACTCTAATTTCAAACCTTGATTCATATCGAGTATTTTCTCTAAATTAAATTAAAATACTTAATAACTACTCAAATACAATTTCAATAAAAGATGAAAGAGAGAGAGTTCCAAGTCTTTGGTTCACTCTCCCAATCGTTTGGGTCAGAGAAGTCTTTCTTAAGCCTGAATAATTGTCTTCTAAAAAACGATAAACAAATTCAAATCTATTTTTATAAACACTTAGGATGAAAAAGAGAGAGCTCCAAGTCTTTGGTTCACTCTCCCGATTACTTAAGGTCCAAGAAGTCTTTTTTGAGCTTCGAGTAATCGTCATCCGATTAATACACTCTAATCATATTAAATATCTTTCATAATATTAGATGAGAAAAGGAGAGAGCTCCAAGTCTTTGGTTCACTCTTCCGATTATTTGAGGTTCGAGAAGTCTTTCTTAAGCTTCGAATAATCCTCATTTGTTAAAATACTTTAATCATATCCTATCCTTCAAAGTGCCATCCAAATAATTCCTTTTGCGATGAAAAAGAAAGTATTCCAAGTCTTTGGTTCGCTTTCCCGATTACTTGGGTCCGAGAAGTCTTTCTCAAGCTTCGAGTAATCGTCATCCGATTCACTCACTCGTATCCAATTCCATTAACACTTAGATGAAAAAGAGAGAGCTCCAAGTCTTTGGTTCACTCTCCCGATTACTTAGGGACCGAGGAGTCTTTCTCGAGCTTCGAGTAATCGTCATCCGATTAACCCACTCGAACCACATCTTATTCTTTTGCAATTGAGGTTGAAAAAGAGAGAGTTCCAAGTCTTTGGTTCACTCTCCCAATTACTTGGGTCCGAGAAATCTTTCTTAAGCTTCAGGTAATCGTCACCTCTAGCTAAACATCCAATACATCTAACCAATCTCTTTTTCGCCCCGTGCAACCAATACCTTAAACCTATTCAAATCTACCCTCTTTTCTAAACCAAAATAATTAACACGACAAACTCTCTTTTCTCGCCCCGTGCGATTGATACTTCTCAAACTCTATTCCTTGCCTCCGTGCGACCCACAACTCAAACAACTTTTCTCAAAGAACATTGTTTAATTCCTTCTTCCGCGCATAACAAACTAGTGTTTCAGCCTCCCCTAGTGAGCAGACAAACCAATGTTTAGCAGTTAGAATGCGACTTAAACTCTTGTTCAACTCATACCCACCTTTTACCAAGAACATTGTTTAGTCCCTTCTTCCGCGCATAACAAACTCGTGCTTCAGCCTCCCCTAGCGAGCAGACAAGCCAACGTTTAGCAGTTAGAATGCGACCTAAACTCTCGTTCATTCCAAACACAAACCTTTTAGCAAAC